AAGAGTAAAACTCGCAGCTCCACATATAGCTCGGAGGATCAATTATTAAGCGCCCCACCCAAGCAGCGCCTCGGAGCTGTGGACAGAGACGGTGAAGGCTACCTGCAGAGCCGTACGACTTCGACAGCAGCCACCGGACGCTGGCGCAGATCTTGGCCCGGTTGAAGTCATACTGGTCCAGCGGCTTGATCTCCGGCACCGAGAAGGTCTTTTTCATCGCGCTGGGAGAGTCCACCATGACCGCGCTGTGGCGCACGGAGAGCACGGAGGCAGCAGCAGCAGCAGCAGCAGCACCGCACCGGGAAAATGTGAGGAGGAGGGATGCAGGAGGAGGAGGAGGAGGAGGAGGGATGGAGGAGGAGGACCCTGTGATGCAGACTGAAACAAATCAGTGATGGAAAAGACGACAAAAAGTTTATTAGAAATGATGAGAAGAGAAAATACGAGGCCCGGTAACGGAGTCAGAAGTCGGTAATGGAGAATAAAACGGCTCGCTGGTGCCACCGACCGGCTCCACGCCCCCCTGAACGTCACATGTCAACCAATGAGCATGTCAGAGGAAATATCTGGTTCAAATCCGTCATGTCTGCTGCAGCAGCACCGACGGGCCTCATCAGATCCATTTCAGGAACGCAAATTTAGGCAAAATAAAACCATCCTGTGGGATGAGACTGCAGGAGGGGCACAGGGAGTCCAGACATCAGTAAGCAGTGTGTCCAGCCTCCACATGGAGGTGCCCCTGAGCAAGGCATGACCGAGCCAGCAACTCATGTGAACAGTAAAGCTGTTTTGAGCACAGTGACAGTCCCATGGCACTGACATGGACATTCATCAGGTGCATTTATTACAAAATAGATTAGATCCACAACTGCAACAAACCTGTGGAAGTCCTAAAGTTCCTACATGTCTTATGAACACTTTATTATTTACATTTCACTGATAGGGTAGAAGCCCCCCACCACCACATCCTCCTCCTGACTACAGTTTTATATTTGAGGTCATTCTTGAATGGTTGATAATCCTCAAAAAGCAATAAAATCCATTTGCTGATTTGAAATTAAAAGAAATGGTTTCGGGGTCGTTTGAAGTAATAGTTTGGCAGAACAAGATAAGCCACTGTGTGTTTTAATAGGAATAAACATGCACTATACTGTTAACATCAGGGTCATATGGAGGGTTATCCATTAGCTTAAAAAAAAGCAAATACCTTTCTGTAGTATGTACAAATGTAACCATAGGCCTCTCTGATATGGACGTCAACGATAATGTCAAAGAAAAGTTGTAGCTTTTGTTCTAAACTCATTCGTTTTAAATTAATCGTCAAACCATCCAAAAAATGTAGAATAATTTCTGTCTGTTAACTAACAGCGGCAGCTAAAGTTACATTTCCCAGGTCAAAGTGGAAGATCCCTCTTTAAGATTTTAGATTTAGATTAATAACACCAAAGTTGAAGACTATCATGATTTAATTACATTATAAATTTGCTCATGTAAGCATGCTTCTTGAGTGCTTATTATATTGGAACTCAAAATAAGAATGTATTTTCAAAGAAAGCAGACGTTGTTCTTCGGGATGGCGTTTTACCCCCGTTTACCCCACAACCCTAAGCCAACACTGTTTCCTAGAGTCCATGAAGAAAGTTCACATTCTAATAATTCAGCTACTCTTTTACTTAACTTAAATAAAGCAAAATCATTTTTGACATTTTATCCATCTGCTGTTCGTAGTGTTGTTTATGTAAGGTTCATAGATGAAGAGCGATTTGTGCTGAGTGGAGAAAAATATGTAAATTCATATGTTCAAGTTAATTTGTTAAAATGTGTAAATAATAAATCTGCAAACATAAATGTAAACTGTTGCTCAGGTAAGCACTATGAATATTTTAACAAATTAACTTGAACATATGAATTTACATATTTTCCTTCACTCAGCAAAAATCGCTCTTCATCTATGAACCTTACATTTAGTAGCGTTAGCCACTAATAACAGCAAAGGACAACAAGCTAGCAGCGATGCTAATTATTTCTGGATTACCCACCGATACTAAAGTCACTTCAAAGTCCCTGCTTTGCTTGATTTAACCCCTTTAACTCATCTCATTTATTTCTCCCAATGAAAATACTTCTTTCCTGCCTCAACATGATTTAGATGTAACTAGAATGTGCAGCTCATTTATGACTCTGCTCTGGAAAACTGCTCTCTACTGCACAGCAAGTTTCAATATAGTAGTAATTCTGCCTTGCATATTGTTACTGGGGCTGCAAGGTGGAGTGGTGGTTAGCATCGTTGCCTCGCAGCAAGAAGGTCGCTGGTTCGTGTTCTGGTGAGGACACCTGGGATGCGTGGAGTCTCCATGTTCTTCCCGTGCAGCGTGGGTTCTCTCTGGGTTCTCCAGCTTCCTCCCAGAGGTTAATTGGTGATTCTAAATTGTCCATAGGTGTGAATGTGAGTGTAAGTGTAGCCCTGTGATAGACTGGTGACCTGTCCAGGGTGTCCCTGGTCCAGTCAGCTGGGATAGACTCCAGCCCCCCCTGCAACCCTAGTGAGGATTAAGCATTGTATAGATAATGGATACATGGATGGATGGATGGATGGATATATGTTATGAAGGAAAATGATACAGAAGTCCCACTCTGCAAAATGACAGCATCGGTTCCTTATACTTATTTATATATCTATCCAGTGAAATAAATAAATGAGGAAGAAGTGCTTCTCCTGTTTCATTAAGGAAAACCAGCTCCCCACTGAATATACAGTCAACAAGCTGAGAGCATAAACATATGAACACATTGAGAGTAAATGCTAACTCCTTTACAGACATATTGCTCTTTAATTTCAACATGTTTTGTCATTATGGAAAGAATAGCAATACAGATAGTATAATTGTCCAAACTATTAATGATCTAATTGTACAAAGTCTTATCCTACAGATCACAAAAATGTGATTTAATGTTTCAAATTAAAAGTCTGCAGCATATTCTACTGGCTGTGTACACTGTAAAGGGGCCTTTTGCATCGCCTTGTTGTTGATTTTCATCCAAAAGATACCAAATCAGACGATAAAATAAATGACTCTGCTGACAGTGGAGATGTTTTTTTTCTTTTTTACTACACTGAATACAAGCAATGAAAAAATGACCTGTAGAGAGCAGCAAACTAGTCAGAGAGGCAACTGCCAATTCAGCACTAAAACACGTTGCCCATAAAAGCTTCTCAGTGACACATAAACACTGCAACATCCTGCTGTGTTCGTGCAACACAGCAGGAAACAAGAAAACCTCAACAATCACAGCAAAGCATCAGCAATATGTGGCTTAGGGTTGAAAAGACAAACTGCTGCTGATCTTAGGTTTTGCATAATCAGAACTCAGCAACCTTTGATTAAAATGTACCATTTGTATTTTATCATGTTCTTGTGACATGCACAGAAGAGGAACGAGCAGGAGGTGGCTGTAATGTGCATACAAGAACATCTGCAACAAGAACAAACTCTAAATTCAACTAATATTTGATGTAAAGGGGTAAGAAGGGTCTCTGATGTTGCTTTGGCTGGTGTGCAGTGACATTCTAATATTCACGAGTCAAGAAAATAAAAGCAGAAGCTGAAGAAGGGTTCTGCTTCAGTGAGCTCTACTCTCATGTAGTTTAACTTTGGTCTGCTTGTAAGTCACAGTGCTGATACTCGATGTTGTGTCCTGATAAAAG